TTTTTAGTTTTATTCATTTCAAATGGGCCGGATCCGGCCCACGGGCCGTAGTTTGCCTACGGCTGGTCTATCATCATGAGAGGTCCAAGAGGATCTAGAACTCAAGGTCTCTCTGGTCTAGTGCTTTTCTTGAAAGATAGAATCCAGTGGGGGCTCTAGTGTTTGAATCATGTGCTGTGGGCCCCCAGAGGTGGATGTCTGTCTCACATACTGTAGACCTTCAAGCCATCGCCTATGTACTGTAATCAGAGCCATAGGAAGCTTAATAATTATCCACAGTTGGGATAACAGTGAAAGTCATTCTAGACCAAATCTTTAATACTATCAAGAGCTATTCAGCATTCATGGCAGTTTCTTACTTCCCTATGACATCCGATCCTGAAAAAATTGTGAGGTGGGTCTAATTGCCACTGAGGAAGTTGAGACTTTGGAAGGCCAAAACAGGCCATTTAAGGGCCCACTGTTAACTGGACACAGATCAAATTTGAACTTGAAGATAGTTCTAAGGCTCTACTCATCATCTTTAGAAGATAGCTCTTAGACATATGGAATTGTATGAATATAGACTGGGAATTCAATGTGTATTCTAAAATACTTTGAAAGCTCCTGCTCCAGGGCAGCAGCTCATAGATAAGGTTGGACAGAGAAGGCCAAAAGGAAACTATACGGGCATGTTTACCTCCACTAGTTACTCCATTTTCAAGCCTCCTCCTGTGCTACTGGTTCCTGCTGAAAAGGACATAGGTTTTTCCTAAATTTCTTTGTGTGTGTGTGTGTGTGTGTGTGTGTGTGTGTGTGTGTGTGTGTGTGTGTATTTTTCCTGTAATCAAGTCTGTAGCTTTTCTTTTAAAGCCAAAATGCCAAACGAAATTTAGGAATGCTCATAACTCTGGTCCATGATAGAGATTATTGTTTACTACTCTTTAGAAACCTGGACTCAATCAATGGAACACCTACTTCTTAAATAGAATAAAGTTGCCTTTGAGAAACAAAATCTTTCCAGAGTGGGAATGGCTGGGGGCAAAGGGGGGGTCGTCAATTGGGGAAAAAAGAGACATATATAAAACTTTAGACAAAAAAAAGAAAGAAAAGAAACAAAATCTTAGAAAAATATCCCTTAGGAATAAAATTCCATGGGTTCTCTTCCAATAGAGTGAAATTTTATCAAGAGAGTAGTTGGTGCACAAATTCAATCCAGCCTCACCAGCGTAGTTGGTGCTGGGGAGAGGTTCACATTAGTAACTTACAAATGGAGGTGTCTTCACTGCAAAAGAGATATCTGGAAAAGAAACCAGTTTGAAAAGGTTTTTGCTAATATTAACCAACTGTGTTGGAGTCCCCAAAGCACAGTCTCCTGCCTGACTTCTCCTAGGAACTTCCCATTTGTAGTCTCTGTGGCTACAGTGGTATTTTCACATGTACATCTCCCTCAAGGGGCACCTTTTAGCTGATGTTTTCAGTGCCTCCAACTATCCTCAGTGCCTTTTCATTCACACCCACAATGTACCCAGACTTCCTGCAAAAAAGAGATATCTGGAAAAGAAACCAGTTTGAAAAGGCTTCTGCTAATATTAACCAACTGTGTTGGAGTCCCCAAGGCACAGTCTCCTGCCTGACTTCTCCTAGGAACTTCCCATTTGTAGTCTCTGTGGCTACAGTGGCATTTCCACATGTACATCTCCCTCAAGGGGCACGTTTTAGCTGATGTTTTCAGTGCCTCCAACTATCCTGTGGGCATTTGCCTTTTCATTCACACCCACAATGTACCCAGACTTCCTCCGTGGGTCACCTTCCTTTTTTCTTGAGGGCTTCCTTCAGAGGAAATCAGAAATCAATGACACCCTGAGAATCTGTGAATAAATACCCAGCTCCCTAGATGGAACAATTCTGATGTGTACCCTTTGCATCTTCCAGAGGGCCCAGCAGCTGTGACAATACCCCTCCCCCAAGAGCAGTAACCTGTGCAAGTCAACATTTGTGCCTTTTCTTTTCTGTCTTGCTTCCCTACTTCTCTACATTTTTTACAAGGTCACCTTCCAAAATGAATCCTTTCAGTCAGCGTTTGGGGAATCCAAATTAAGCAAACTCGGAATACTTGAATCATTTTCCTGTCCCTTCTTCTTTGTCCATCTCAGTTTATGAAAACACCTCAACAGCCCCCAAATCAGAAACCAGGGGAGTATTCTTTATTCTCTTTCCTCCACATTTGAAACTCCAACTTTCAATTGGTCACTGATTCCTACGAATTAAACCCCAAATCTTTCCAATCAGTCCTTTCTTAACTTCCAATTCTTTCTAGTTAAAACCTTCATAAAACCATGGGCAATTTTAACAGCTTTCTAACTCCTCTATATATTTAAAATGTATCCTCTCTCCCGTCAATTCTTCATAGAGTACAGTACTTATCCATTGAAAACACACATTTGACCATGTAGTTTCCTGTAGAAACTTCTGATCTCTTACCACTACCTAGAGAAGACCCAGGCTCTGCACATATTCCCATGATCAGGCCCCTACTCTGATTGTCTCTTCTCATGCTGGGTCTCTTCTGTCAGGCCACCCACCATCCACTCTACTTGCAAGTCCCCAAATAACCCACCTTCTTTGTCAACACTGGGCTTTGTACATGCTATTTCTTGACCATAGGATACCTTTTTAATACTTTGGGTCTGATGAGTTTGTATACATGTCCAAATAACCTAATTGAAACCTGACAGACAAGTTAGAATGATTATTCTTTTTCCTTTCACACAGGTACTCTCATACCGAGTGCTGTGTATTTTCACATGCATGTGTCTTTCATGCCACTTTGCTGAGGGTCCCTTCAGCACAGAGAGCTTTTGGATTTCTGTATTTCTTGCATATGCTGCCTAATACAAAAAGTGGGTGCTCAATAGTTGCATACCTCTGTTAGTATAGGTAGCTAAATATTAATAAAGGAAGAGAGCAAAGGGAATCAAACATTATTTAGCATAATCAACTAGGGAGTATAGTCTTGCTTCATTAGGAAGTTACAGCTTCATACACTTCCAAGGGCATCCTCTGCCCCTGGACCTGATTCCCTCCAAGCGAAGCAGGCAGGAAAGAAAGATCATTACCAGGGGAGAAAGAGAAGCAGCAGGACATAGTCTTGGTTCATTAGGAAGTTAAAACTTCATACACTTCCCAGGGCATCCTCTACCCCCAGACCTAATTCCCCCCAAGCAAAGCAGGAAAGATCATTACCAGGGGAGAAAGAGAAGCAGCAGGAGACATTCCTCTTCTGGGCACATGTGCAGTGAGAACCAAAATGGCAACCTTAAAGGCTTGTCTCTCTAGCCTGAGAAAAGGATTGGACTGGATAAGGGACACAGAATCCAGAAAGAGCTGGAAAATGGATTGGTTAGAGGGTGGGCCCAGTGCAAGCCCACAAAAGTTTGAGAAGTTGATTGGTTCGTTTGAAGAAGCACCTGGTGTGTTCCAAGCCCAAAATAATATAATCAGCCTCTTCTCTCTCTCTCTCTCTCTCTCTCTCTCTTTCTCTCTCCCACACACACACACCCTCTCTGTAACACATGCTTGTCCCATTTGCTCACATGTCCTCTCCATAGCAGCCACATGTATTTAGCAGCTGCATGCTGTGCAACACAACACCAGCCAGAGCGCAACTGGGAACAGACTGCACCAGCCAGATGTGAACAGACATGGACTGAACCAATAGCACAAAATGCCTGAGCACTGGCCCTATTTCTGGGCCTAATAAAAAAAGGCTGAACTTTTTCCATGGCAGGAGGGACAGAGATGAGATATTGGGAACGTGGGGGCAGCCTTCTGTTTTCACCCAAATAAATATCACTGTGCCACAACCTCCTATACCTGGGTCCCTGGAATGCTCTTCTTGCAACCCTGGGAAAGAACATAAATTCCACCGGCAAGACCTCCAAGTGCTTACGTCAAAAGCTGGGCATCATTTTTGACTTTCCTTTCTTTTACACCTCACCTCACATATTCAATGCATCAAGACATCCCATTAGTGCAACCTCAAAAGTACATCTAGAGTCCTGCCACATCCTACCACCCCCACTGTTACCAACGTGTTCCGCCAGCACCTTGCTCCTGCATTATTGCAGGAGCCTCCTCACTGGTTCTCTTGTTGTTACCCTTTCCTGTCCACAACCTATTTTCAACAAAGCAGGCAGTCGTCCTCAAAAACTGTTAAGTGATTTAAGCCACATCCCACCTGCACACTCACCAATGACATTCCATTTCACTGAGATTAATGTAAAAATTCCTACATGCTGAGCCCCGTTACCCCACTGAGATCATCTCCTTCCCCACCCTGCTCATCTGCTCCAGTCCCACCAGACCAGTCCACTTAGTATGGTTAATACCCTCACTTCCTCCATGTTGCTGCACCAATATTACGTTAATGAAAATACCAAGTTTACAATGGTATTTGCCCACATATCCCACACTCCTTCCCTTTCTCTTTATTTCCATAGCACCCATTGGCTTTGAGCATGCACTGAAATTCACTAAGTTCTTATTTTTATTGCTTATCATATGTCTTTGCTCACAAGAAGATAACCATAGCAGGGAACTGAAAGTTCTGGGAGCAGTGTCTAGCATGCAGAATGTGGTCAGTAGCTTTCTGCATGTGAATAAGTCAACGAGTGGGTATAATTGATTTGAAATGACCTGAGTATCATGGTAGGTATCTAAGAAGCCTTTGAAAATGGCATGCCTCAGAAGCATGGTCCCTTGTTAAAATGCCCTTTTAATTGAACAAATAATATTTGTTAATAATGCTATTAACAAATAATATTTGATAAGTATGGAGTGAACTCTAATATATAATTAATCTGAAAAAAGAAGTAGGCAAAATTAATTTAAATATTTAATTTAATTTAATATATCCAAACATTATGTCAGTAAGCAATCAATATAAAATTATTAATGAGATTTTTACTTGTTTTTGCATATTAAATCATCAAAAGCTAACGTGTGTTTTACACTCACAGCACATCTCTGTTTGGACCCGCAACCTCTGAAGTACTTCACAGTTATTTAAGATTTTGAGACTGTGATTGACTGTCAGTAACTGCAATGACAGAAAGGAAACCACGCATCAGGGGGTCTACTGTACTTGGTTCAGCTGCTGGACAACTTTTATGTACGTTCGGAACCACTTGGGTATGTGAACCTACTCTTTCAATTGCAAAATGAAATCTAAATACAGAGCAACTGTATCTGAAGTGAATTTGGCATTTATATTGAGTTGCACTCTAAGTGTAAAATTTACCCCAGATTCCTAGTACTTAATATAGAAGAAGAATGCAAAATATTTTATTACTTTTATATTGATTATATGTTGAAATTATGTTATTTTGGATGTATTGTTTTCAATAAAATGTATAATTAAAATTAACTTCACCTCTGTATTTTTACTTTGTTTATGTGTTTTCTAGAAAACAAATATATATTTATAAATAATAGCCACACATATTATATATCAAATATATACCCACAGAGTATTCATTTTAGGTTTTCACAGAACAAAGGAAACTTCAATAAATATCAAATAATCCACATGTACAGGTTGTACTCTCTGATCATAATGAAATAAAATAAGAAATTAGTAACAACAACAAAAAAGCTTTAAACATCTCCTTGGCCCCTTGAAAGATATATTTAAAATGTACTATATAGTCACTGGGATTGAGAGAGATTTTAAAATTACAAACTATTTAAAAATAAAAGTGTCAAATGTCAACATTTGTGTCTCACAGCTAAAGTAGCATTTAAAGTTTTGCATAATTTTGAATACATATAATAGTAAGCAAGACATATTGAAAACCAAAGACCAATGAGCATAACTAAACATATAAGGAAAAAAATAGAAAATAATAATATAATAAAACCAAAGCAACAAGAAAGAAGGACATAAGAGCGGTTGGATGGGAAATCAATGAAACAGCCCAAATCTCTATTAAAATGAGATTCTTTTAAAAAAATTATGAGAGAGAGAGAGAGAGAGAGAGAGAGAGAAACATAGATCTGTTGCCTCCTATATGTGCCCTGACCAGGGATTGCACCTGCATCCTGGCTATGAGCTCTTATCAGGAATCAAACCCGCCACCTTTTGGTATACTGGATGATGCTTCAACCAACCAAAAAGATTGGCTAAAATCAATTCTTTAATAACTAGAGGCCTGGTGCACAAAATTCATGCACAGAGGAGGGGTCCCCTCAGCCCAGCCTGCACCCTCTCCAATCCGGGACCCCTTGGGGGACATTCCTCTCACAATTCTGGACTATTGGCTCCTAATTGCTCACCTCCCTGCCAGCCTGGTCGCCTCTTACTGCCATCCTGCTGGCCTGGTCGCCCCATGCAGCCTGCTGTTCAGTTGTTTGGTTGTCCCCCACTAACCCCTGCCAGCCTGGTCATCCCACGCAGCCTGCTTGTTTTCCCTGCCAGCCTGGTTGCTCCTAACTGCCCCTGCCACCAGCCTGGTCTCCTCTTACTGCCCCCATGCTGGCCTGGTCACCCCATGCAGCCTGCTGTTAAGTTGTTTGGTCATCCCCCACTAACCCCACTGCCAGCCTGGTTGTCCCACGCAACCTGCTTGTTCAGTTGTTTGGTCCTCCCTCACTAACCGCCCTGCTGGCCTGATCGTAGGCAGCCACCTTGTGAGGGTGTGAGGGTTAATTTGTATATTGCTTCTTTATATATAGGATTGGCATGATAAAGGTGGGCATGAAATTCTGTTCACTCATACACTTTAAGACTAGATTAAATGGACAATGGCACAAGAAAAATAGTAGTCCTTGACTGAAAGAATCAAAGGAAAGAAGCTGATATGAATCAAAGAAAGTACTTCCACTCCCCAAAACATGCCTGTCAGCACAGATGGCACCATGCACACCTTATGGGATCTACATATATGTCCCACACTGCATATGAAACACACGCTGGAGTGTCTATATGAGTTTGGGAGCCAGAACACAGACAGAGGAGCAAGGTGAAATAATAATATGAAGTAAATTAAGAGGGGCCATGTGTGAACGTGATGTGCCTGAGTATTATTATTATTTCAATTCTTTGCACTTGAGAAGATATATAACATTCCTTTCAAATAATTTTTGGGCAACCTTCACAGCCAATGCTTTTATCCTTCTTTCTTGAATGAAAAAAATATGGTAATGCAATATTTGAGTGTGTCACTTCCCAATGGTTTCTCCTGTTTTGTAGTTTCCAACAGCAAAGCTCTTTAGAATTGAAATGGCTTTTAATTCCCCAGGATATATTCTCAGTGCCTAGATGTTTACTAAATCAGTAGTGCTTAGCTGCTACTGATTGATTCTACATGATAATACCTGATGCTAGCCTAGATGTGTGTGTGTGTGTGTGTGTGTGTGTGTGTGTGTGTGTGTGTGTGTGAGAGAGAGAGAGAGAGAGAGAGAGAGAGAGGAGAGAGAGAGGTGGTGTGTAAGGAGGGATACATTTCCTTGGCTTCTTTGCTTCTGTAGATGCAATAAAAAACTAATTTTAGGGTTTATCTGCTGGGCACAACATCTTAATTTCATAGCTGGAAATGATTTAATTTAGGCATTGGAGGCTGGGGTGAGCCACGCACTGCCTATAAAAGAGGATAGAGGCACCTGAATGGTCTGAAATAACCGATTGATCAAGACATCACTTTCCCCTAACATATCCAGGTAATGGCCATCCCTCCTTTTGCATTGGGCCTGTAGGCCCCCTCCACATCAGCTCTATGCCCTCTTCCTTTGTCTGCAAACAGAGGAGAGGGGCAGTAGGTTGGAGTCCCAGACTCGGTTGGCCTCCAGGTATGTTTCCATTGGTCGCAAGGGCCAGGCTGAGCTTGATTTGCTTCGGTACATAAAGATAAGAAGCTAAGGGCCCCTTCCGAAAGCAAACACCTTTAATTTGCACCACCACCTCGCTGTGATTCAGCGGATGGAATTTATGAGGGTGTTAACCCTTTTCCACAAAAGTAGCAAATGAGTCAGTCCTAATAGGAAATAGAAATCCACAGCAGACTCTCTTTGAAGCCCACGGGAAACTTCACTGAGAGGGCTGCCACCCCTCCAGAGTGTCCCCCAGAAGTAAGAGTACAGAGTGGCCCAGATCTTTTAAGGAGAAGCAACTCTACCAGCAAAACAAGTCTTTGCATGTGCCAAGTCCTGCTGACCCCTCTCAGCAGCGGGAATTCAGACAAAACTTCAGGAATGCTTTGCGGGGCGGCTATGGTGCATTCAAAGCAGAAAAACGGCCTTAATCTTTGCAAAACCAACAAAGATAAGCAATAGCTTTAGCTGGGTTGAAATTAGCCAACGCGCTGCTACACAATGTCCTTGGGCCTATTATCCAGGCTCTGACCGCCGAATGGCACTGCTCAAGTATGCTGGCAATGTTTAACAAACCATCTGTCTTGTACCTGTTCCCGCTGAACAGGAGCCTTTGTCTGAGCCGGGGCCCCATCCAGCATGTCTGCTGTCTGCTCCGCAGCCAGGGAAATCTCCTCGCCGCGTTGTATTCATTTCACAGGTCTCTCGATGACGGTTTGTCCTCCACCGAGCGGCTGCTGCTGGAACCTCAGTTTTAAAAAAAAGTGGGGTGTGGATCTGTCTCAGTCTATCTATTACTTCACACACCACCATGGGTGTCAAAGCCTTCCTTGCTTATTTGATTTTTTCCCCCCTGATTTTTCTTCTTTGATGAGGAATTCCAACATTCATTCAAAAGTAACTCTTGATGATTTTGTTTTTTATCTTGGTTATTTGTTCTTACATTGGAACCCCCTCACTCTCTCATATATATTTTTTATTCCTCAGTAAAATATTTTCTGCTTAAATATCACACTTTCAGGAGTTTACTGATTGGTACATAAGTATTAGGCTAAATCATTTGAACTTAATGCTTTCATGGGTCTAAATCAGTCAGATACTGGCATTTTCATATGGTTCAAAAAATATATATATATTGGCAAAATATATATATATA